ACTCTCCAGACACAAAGCAGAACGCTTTAAAAGAGACCAATGTCGTCTATGCCTTCAAATGTCCTCTTGGGGACTGTAAGCCTCAAAGAACTCAATATATAGGCAAGACAACAAAATCTCTTTCCAGGCGATAAACGATGCATAAGCAACAGAGCTCCATTAAGGAACATATAATCTCTTCCCACAACCAGACCATCACCAGAGAAGTCTTAACAAAAAACACGGAAATCATCGATAGATACAGCGATAGCAGGCGGCTTGATATCTGCGAGGCACTACACATTAAGAAGTCAACACCAGCAATCAACAGCCAATTAATGCACAACTATATTCTACCCACTTCAAGACTCCGAACCAATATAGAAGATTCAAGAAATATGGGCCAATAGGCCCTTTGCAGTTACTTCCATTCTTCCCTTTAACTTACAAAATATTATACCCATTTTTTCCTGTTCTGTCTTGTGTTGAAAGTTTGTTTTCAGCTCATCCAAAACTGTTGTAACATATCACCTCACCCAAATGCAGGTATAAAATGAAAGCTGTTTAAACTCTGTTTAGTGTTTGCAGGTTATAGTTGCGTGTGTGTAAACTAAAGTCTTTGAAAATGTAATAAGTTATTACAAAACGCGTTCAAGTGTCGTGTCAGACAAGAAATAATAATGAATTTTGGAGAATTGATTTTTCAATTACCATCAACAGTGAAAAGAAACATAAGAAATATTGAGAAAATTCGTGTTAGAATTAATAATATAATATATATATATATATATATATATATATATATATATATATATATATATATATATATATATATATATATATATATATATATTTTATATATATATTTTATATATATATTTAATATATATATTTTATTTTATATATATATTTTATATATATATATATTTTCTATATATATTTTCTATATATATTTTATATATATATATATATATATATATATATATATATATATATATATATATATTATATATATATATATATATATATATATAAATATATATATATATATATATATTTTATATATATATATATATATTTATATATATATATATATATATATATATATATATATATATATATATATATATATATATATATATATATATATATATATATATATATATATATATATATATATATATATATATATATATATATATATATATATATATATATATATATATATATATATATATATATATATATATATATATATATATATATATATATATATATATATATATATATATATATATATATATATATATATATATATATATATATATATATATATATATATATATATATATATATATATATATATATATATATATATATATATATCACTAAGAACAGGGTAGAAAGCGTTTGACACAGTACCACACAAGAGGCTTGTGAAAAAGCTGTAGATGCAGGCAAGAGTTTATTTTATTATTATTATTTTCTACCACAGACGTGGCCAGACATTTACAATGCTAACCAGCATATATACATTTTCTTCTGCACTCCATGGACAGGGTTAGAGAAGTGTTAAACATACAGTTCAAGGGTTTATTGAACAATCAACCAGAGAAGGTGATTCGGTGCTTTTAAAATGCTAAGCTAACCTACATACGTAAATACATAGATACACAGATTTACGTATGCCCTACATAAAGTGTTCCATGTGTCTTTGCATAGTGTCATTAATGTGCATTTACAAAGGTGAAATGTAATTCTGATCAGCTTCCATATATACTTTATACATATACACACACACATATACGTACATATGTGAAAGGGAAGGTACTCCATTGGAGAAGGGAATTCCCAAGCAAACAAAAACAGCGAGTCACTGTGAGGGGTGAGGCCTCAGATTGTCGAGGTGCCACCAGTGGAGTCCCGCAGGGGTCAGTCCTTGGACCTATACTGTTTCTGATATATGTAAATGTGCTCCCAGAGGGAATAGAATCGTTCCTCTCATTGTTTGCTGATGATGCAAAAGTTATGAGGAGGATTAAGACAGAGGAAGATAGTAGGAGGCTACAAGATGACCGAGACAGATTGTATGAATGGTCCAACAAATGACTACTAAAGTTCAACCCGAGTAAATGTAAGGTGATGTTTCTAGGCGGTGGAAACAGGAAGCCAGACACAGGATGCAGAATGGGAGATGAAGTACTTCATGAAACGAACAGAGAGAAAGATCTATTAGTTAATATCACACCAAACCTGTCTCCTGAAGCCCACATCAAAAGAATAACATCTGCGGCGTATGTGAGGCTGGCTAACATCAGAACTGCCTTCAGGAACCTGTGTAAGGAATCATTCAGAACCTTGTATACCACATATGTAAGACCAATCCTGGAGTATGCGGCCCCAGCATGGAGCCCGTACCTTGTCAAGCACAAGACGAAGCTGGAACACGTCCAGAGGTATGCTACTAGACTAGTCCCAGAACTAAGAGGCATGAATTACGAGGAATGGCTGCATGAAATGCATCTCACGACACTGGAAGACAGAAAAGAAAGGGGAGACATGATCACTACCTACAGAATTCTCAGAGGAATTGATAGGATAGATAAGGATAAATTGTTTAACACGGATGGTACGCGAACAAGGGGACACAGGTGGAGACTGAGTACCCAAATGAGCCACAGGGACGTTAGAAAGAACTTTTTCAGTGTCAGAGTAATTAGTAAATGGAATACATTAGGCAGTGATGTGGTGGAGGCTAACTCCATACACAGTTTCGAGTGTAGACATGATAGAGCCCGGTAGGCTCAGGAATCTGTACACCAGTTGATTGACAGTTGAGAGGCGGGACCAAAGAGCCAAAGCTCAACCCCCGCAAGCACAACTAGGTGAGTACACACACACACACACACACACACACACACAGGGCCTCGTAGCCTGGTGGATCGCGCGCAGGATTCATAATTCTGTGGCGCGGGTTCGATTCCCGCACGAGGCAGAAACAAATGGGCAAAGTTTCTTTCACCCTGAATGCCCCTGTTACCTAGCAGTAAATAGGTACCTTGGAGTTAGTCAGCTGTCACGGGCTGCTTCCTGGTGTGTGTGTGTGTGTGTGTGGTGTGGAAAAAAAAAAAAAAAAAGTAGTTAGTAAACAGTTGATTGACAGTTGAGAGGCGGGCCGAAAGAGCAAAGCTCAACCCCCGTAAAAACACAACTAGTAAACACACACACACACAAGGGGCCGGTGGCTGACTGGACAGCACGCTGGACGCGTGATCCTGTGGTCCCGAGTTCGATTCCCGGCGCCGGCGAGAAACAATGGGCAGAGTTTCTTTCACCCTGATGGTCTGTTACCTAGCAGTAAATAGGTACGTGGGAGTTAGTCAGTTGTCACGGGCTGCTTCCCGGTGTGTGTGTGTATGTGTGTGTGTGTGTGTGTGTGTGTGTGTGTGTGTGTGTGTGTGTGTGTGTGTGTGTGTGTGTACTCACCTAGTTGTGCTTGCGGGGGTTGAGCTCTGGCTCTTTGGCCCGGCTTCTCAACTGTCAGTCAACTGGTGTACAGGTTCCTGAGCCTACTGGGCTCTATCATATCTACACTTGAAACTGTGTATGGAGCCAGCCTCCACCACATCATTTCCTAATACATTCCATTTGTCTACTACTCTGACACTGAAAAAATTCTTTTCAACGTCTCTATGGCTCATTTGGGCACTCAGTTTCCACCTGTGTCCCCTAGTGCGTGTGCCCCTTGTGGTAAATAGCCTGTCTTTATGTACCCTATCAATTCCTCTGAGAATCTTGTATGTGATGATCATGTCCCCTCTAGCTCTTCTGTCTCCCAGTGACGTGAGGTTTAATTCCCGTAGTCTCTCCTCGTAGCTCATACCCCTCAGTTCTGGTACTACTCTGGTAGCAAGCCTTTGAACCTTTTCCAGTTTAGTCTTATGCTTGACTACATATGGACTCCATGCTGGAGCCGCATACTCCAGGATTGGTCTGACATATGTGGTATGCAAAGTTCTGAAAGATTCCTTACACAGGTTTCTAAAGGCCGTTCTTATATTAGCCAGCCTGGCATATGCCGCTGATGTCATCCTCTTGATATGAGTTTCAGGGGACAGGTTTGGCGTGATATTAACCCCCAGGTCTTTCTCTCTCTCTCAGACTCTTGAAGGATTTCATCTCCCAAATGATACCTTGTATCTGGTCTCCTGCTCCCTACACCTATCTTCATTACATTGAATTTGTTTGGGTTAAACTCTAACAACCATTTGTTCGACCTTTCCTGCAGCTTGTCCAGGTCTTCTTGAAGCCTCAAGCTATCCTCTGCTGTCTTAATCCTTCTCATAATTTTGGCGTCGTCAGCAAACAGTGAGAGGAATGAGTCTATGCCCTCTGGAAGACCATTGACGTATATTAGAAACAGGATAGGTCCGAGTACAGAGCCCTATGGGACTCCACTGGTGACTTCACGCCAATCTGAGGTCTCACCCCTCACTGTAACTCTCTACTTCCTATTGCTTAGGTATTCCCTTATCCACTGGAGCGCCCTACCAGTTACTCCTGCCTGTTTCTCCAGCTTATGCATCAGCCTTTTATGGGGTACTTTGTCAAAGGTTTTCCGACAATCCAAAAAAATGCAGTCTGCCAATCCTTCTCTTTCTTGCTTAATCTTTGTCACCTGATCGTAGAATTCTATTAAACTTGTAAGGCAAGTGTGTGTGTGTGTGTGTGTGTGTGTGTGTGTGTGTGTGTGTGTGTGTGTGTGTGTGTGTGTGTGTGTGTGTGTGTGTGTGTGTGGTGTGGAAAAAAGTAGTAACAGTTGATTGACAGTTGAGAGGCGGGCCGAAAGAGCAGAGCTCAACCCCCGCAAGCACAACTAGGAGAGTACACACACAGAGGGACAGGGAAGGTGGGCATTTAGTCATATACTTAAAGATACAATGAACAATTCCTAAGCCAAATACACAGATGATTATAATTACATATTATATTAATTCACGCTAACATTCCATCCCTTACAGGAGATCAGAGGTGATGGTGCAGCACAAGAGGTGGGTGTGGTCGGTGGTGTTGACGGGGGCCCTGGTGGCCCTCGTGGCCCCTCTCCAGCTGCTCGACAACTCTGCAGAGGACCTCGAGGAGCTCCCTGTCGCCCGGGTTGCTCGTCAGGCCGGACGCCCTCAAGGTTAGTTTTATTGGAACTGTGTCAGTGAGGCTGGGTACTGGTGGGCGTGGTCAAGTGGCTGGTGGGCGTGGTCAAGTGGCTGGTGGGCGTGACCAAGTGGCTGGTGGGCGTGGTCAAGTGGCTGGTGGGCGTGACCAAGTGGCTGGTGGGCGTGACCAAGTGGCTGGTGGGCGTGACCAAGTGGTTGGTGGGCGTGGTCAAGTGGCTGGTGGGCGTGACCAAGTGGCTGGTGGGCGTGGTCAAGAGCTGGTGGGCGTGGTCAAGTGGCTGGTGGGCGTGACCAAGTGGCTGGTGGGCGTGACCAAGTGGCTGGTGGGCGTGACCAAGTGGTTGGTGGGCGTGGTCAAGTGGCTGGTGGGCGTGACCAAGTGGCTGGTGGGCGTGACCAAGTGGCTGGTGGGCGTGGTCAAGTGGCTGGTGGGCGTGACCAAGTGGCTGGTGGGCGTGGTCAAGTGGCTGGTGGGCGTGACCAAGTGGCTGGTGGGCGTGGTCAAGTGGCTGGTGGGCGTGACCAAGTGGCTGGTGGGCGTGACCAAGTGGCTGGTGGGCGTGGTCAAGTGGCTGGTGGGCGTGACCAAGTGGCTGGTGGGCGTGACCAAGTGGCTGGTGGGCGTGACCAAGTGGCTGGTGGGCGTGACCAAGTGGCTGGTGGGCGTGACCAAGTGGCTGGTGGGCGTGATCAAGTGGCTGGTGGGCGTGATCAAGTGGCTGGTGGGCGTGACCAAGTGGCTGGTGGGCGTGACCAAGTGGCTGGTGGGCGTGACCAAGTGGCTGGTGGGCGTGACCAAGTGGCTGGTGGGCGTGACCAAGTGGCTGGTGGGCGTGACCAAGTGGCTGGTGGGCGTGACCAAGTGGCTGGTGGGCGTGATCAAGTGGCTGGTGGGCGTGATCAAGTGGCTGGTGGGCGTGACCAAGTGGCTGGTGGGCGTGACCAAGTGGCTGGTGGGCGTGACCAAGTGGCTGGTGGGCGTGACCAAGTGGCTGGTGGGCGTGACCAAGTGGCTGGTGGGAGTGACCAAGTGGCTGGTGGGCGTGACCAAGTGGCTGGTGGGCGTGACCAAGTGGCTGGTGGGTGTGACCAAGTGGCTGGTGGGCGTGACCAAGTGGCTGGTGGGCGTGACCAAGTGGCTGGTGGGCGTGACCAAGTGGCTGGTGGGCGTGAGGCAGGGTACTGATGGGCGTGACCAAGTGGCTGGTGGGTGACAGGTGTTGGTGGTTGGGTCACAATTGCTGGTGAGTGACGTAGTTACTGGTGGCTGTATCTAGATCACTGGTATATATACACGCTGAAGGTTGTGTCAAGGTTGTGATGGTTGACAGATGCTGGTAGCGGTAATATGGTTGTTGGTGGTTGTGACAAGGTCCTGGAAGCTGGCTGCCATAACACCAAAATAAACACACATACACACACACAAACCACAATAGCGTGATGCATCAAATGAACAAATCCACAAGGGCCGTGAATTTACCAAGTCGTGGCACAGTCGATTAAGGCGCGTCTGGGATCCTCTCGGACGTAGGTTCGAACCCTCATCACGGCCCATTTGTTCATTTAAACACACATACATAAATATATATCAGCGTCTTGGCCTTCCTCCGGCTTCAAGAACTCGAGCAAACACTTGAGAGTGTCAACAAACACTTGAGAGTGTCAACAAACACTTGAGAGTGTCAACAAACACCTCACTGAAGACACGAGTAGAACTGGGTAATATATTTGACAATAAACAGAACTGTCAGTGTTAAATGAGTCAGTCAGATGCCATTAACTCTCAAGGGGCAAGAATGAATCTGTCTCTTGACACTATATTGACAGAATGAATCTATGTCTCTTGACAGACAGACATACAGAGATGATGCTGATCATCATGTATATGTCTCCTAGAATGGTCACTATACAATATTTACATAAGATAACAGAGGGGTAAGATCTCTACTCTAGAGAGACTATTAGAATAGACTTGGGCTCTAGAGAGCACATGTATTCACACTTATAGAGCAGGGACACAGTCATATTCAGGTCCTATAATGGTCCATAGTGAAGGGACAGTCACAGCGAGGTCCTATAATAGTCCATAGTAAAGAGACAGTCACAGAGAGGTCCTATAATGGTCCATAATAAAGAGACAGTCACAGCGAGGTCCTATAATGGTCCATAATAAAGAGACAGTCACAACGAGGTCCTATGATGGTCCATAGTAAAGAGACAGTCACAGAGAGGTCCTATAATGGTCCATAGTGAAGAGACAGTTACAGCGAGGTCCTATAATGGTCCATAATAAAGAGACAGTCACAACGAGGTCCTATGATGGTCCATAGTAAAGAGACAGTTACAGCGAGGTCCTATAATGGTCCATAGTGAAGGAAAACCGTCGTAGCGAGGTCCAAAGTGACCTCTTAACCTCGCATACTAAACCAGTTATTGAGTTCTGAGAACGCATCATATTTTTTTACTTTCATCTTACTTTCTCTGAGCGAGTTCCTGTCTCGTGGTACCCGGCTGGTCCTTGACGCCCGCCCGGTGATCCCACGAGCCAAGGGTAACGTTATTTCAACGTTGAATCAACGGTGATAACGTTGATTCAACGTTGAATTAAGACTGATAACGTTGAATTAACGTTACTCTTTGATATTTGTCCCAGAGGGTACCAGCACTCAGAACAGGTTTTCTCTCGGCTCTTAATACATAATACCAAGATTACTTGGTATTATGGTACTTAAAACGAGACCAGTAGTGGATATTACATTTGAGTTGTTCCAGTGATAGACCTTTGTAGCGCAGTGCCTTCATGATCCCGGGTTCAGCTACAGTGATGTGACAATGGCGTTTGGGACAACGTTTTTCCTTTTATCTGATGCTTCTGTTTACTTAGCAGTAAATAGGTAACAGGGAAGGGGAAAATGAACTATCAGGGGGAAAAGCCCCAAGCCATTATGACTTATTTAGGACTGGATAGGGATCAGGAGAAGGATTTGGGATGGGACGGGGGGAAAGGAATGGTGCCCAACCACTTGGACGGTCTAGATAACAAGGAGTTCGGGGAGAGTGTTGTGGTGGTTTGGTGGTAGAGCACTGAGTGGTGCGCCACGCGAGAGGAGGTTCGAGTCTCAGCCACCGGGATTGGAATGATCAAATATTTATAAAATGCAACTTGTGGACCGCTCAAGTTTATCAGATGATATATATAGTACATTCTGATGCCTAAATTTGGGGTCAGATTCACGAAGCAGTTACGCAAGTACTTATGAACGTGTACATCTTTCCTCTATCTTTGACGGCTTTGGTTACATTTGTTAAACAGTTTACAAGCATGAAAACTTTCCAATCAACTGTTGTTATTGTTATAATCAGCCTCCTGGTGCTTCAAAGCTCATTAACTGTTAAATAATTGTAAACAAAGCCGCCAAAGAATGAGAAAAGATGTACAGGACCCAGATTCACGAAGCAGTTACGCAAACACTGACGAACCTGTACATATTTTCTTAATCTTTGGCGGCTTTGTTTACAATTATTAAATAGTTAATAAGCTCTGAAGCACCAGGAGGCTGATTATAACAATAACAACAGTTGATTGGAAAGTTTCCATGCTAGTAAACTGTTTAACAAATGTAACCAAAGCCATCAAAGAATGAGAAAAGATGGACAGGTTCGTAAGTGCTGTCGTAACTGCTTCGTGACTCTGGCCGAAATACTTGATCTGTCGTAACCGGTATGCATCTGAGTAAGGGGTTGAATCAAATAAAAAATACTTTACATACTAAAAGATTGTGTCATGCTGTAAGGGTGAAAGAGACTTTCACTTTTTAAGTCTGAAATTTCAAGCTGGTGTGAGACATGTTGTTTTAGGAATATTTGAAGGTGTCTTGGTGACGGGTTATCTTCTTGAGGTTATCTTGAGATGATTTCGGGGCTTAGCGTCCCCGCGGCCCGGTCCTCGACCAGGCCTCCACCCCCAGGAAGCAGCCCGTGACAGCTGACTAACACCCAGGTACCTATTTTACTGCTAGGTAACAGGGGCATAGGGTGAAAGAAACTCTGCCCATTGTTTCTCGCCGGCGCCCGGGATCGAACCCGGGACTACAGGATCACAAGTCCAGTGTGCTGTCCGCTCGGCCGACCGGCTCCCTGTCCTAGGTAGTGGTCAGTAAGGTGACGCTGGTAGTGGTCAGTAAGGTGACGCTGGTAGTGACCAATAAGGTGACGCGATTCCTTCCGGCTTGGCTTGATGCGCATTTCTTTTTACTGAGAGTCTTCTGATTGGCTGAAGTAAGGTCTGTCAGCCCATTACATGAGCATAATGGCAATACTTACAGTAATGTAGGTGGGGAGGTGGCTGTCTGGCCTCCATGGGGAACTTGGGTGTAGTCACCTAGTTGAACTCACCTAGTTGTGCTTGCAGGGGTTGAGCTTTGCTTCTTCGGTCCCGCCTCTCAATCGTCAATCAACTGGTGTGCGGATCATTCAGCCTACTGGGCACTAAAATTGTGTATGGAGTCAGCCTCCACCACATCACTGCTTAATGCCTTCTATTTTTTAACTACTCTGGCACTGAAGAAATTCTTTCTAATGTCTCCGTGGCTCGTCTGGGTACTAAGTTTCCACCTGTGTCCCCTTGTTCGTGTTCCACTCATGCTAAATATTTTGTCTTTATCCACACTGTCAATTCCCCTGAGGATTTTGTAGGTGGTTATCATGTCTTCCCTTACTCTTCTGTTTTCCAGGGACGTGAGGTTTAGCTGCCTTAGCCTTTTCTCGTAGCTCTTACCTCTCAGCTCTGGGACTAGTCTGGTGGCATACCTCTGATCCTCTGAATCTTCTCTAACTTTGTCTTGTGTTTAACTAGGTATGGACTCCAGGCTGGAGCTGCATACCCCAGGATTGGTCTGACATAAGTGGTATACAGGGTCTTGAACGATTCTTTACCCAAGTTTCTAAAGGCAGTTCTTATGTTGGCCAGTCTAGCATATGCCGCTCATGATATCCTTTTGATTTGGGCCTC